ACGTCCTCCACAACTAGACTGAAGAACAAAAGGACAGCAACTTGTCTGTTCCCCTCCCCCAATTCCCCAATAAAACCTTTAAATAAAAAAAGAATAAATTGTAGCAACTCTCAATTCTGTTTTATTCTTCTGAGAGCTATTTTTGTTTTGTTTCAGGGAGCAATTAATTTATCTATTCGAGCAAAAAATATATATATATATATATATCGGTCTTCCCTGCCACTGATGTGTCCACTCAGTGCTTTTTATTTACTTATTTATGTTTAAAGCCTGGCTCCCTAAGTATTTTCCCAGAACCTGCATAGCTTAGCAGTCAGCAAAAGACTTTGGCAGAAGTTATGCTCAGACACTTGACATAAGAAAGCTTCCTCCTCTGCAACCTGAGATGTGTGAGAGTTGAGAAATGCAATCAAAGGCACAATTTGCAAATCTCTCCAGGCTTTCAACATTCACAGGGCTCCTTGGGGTCTCCCACACACATGGGAAGTTTAGCAATCTAAGATGTGTAGTTTATTAATTTCAGCCCTGCTATGGCTTTCTTGCTTCCAGAATCTCCCCCTTTAATTTCAGCTGCTTTGTTGGCACCCCCAAACCAAGCCGACCACCTCACACAGAAAAGCTACAAGTTTTTGCTGCCCAAAGGAGACAGCATGAGAATTAACTGCAAGCAAGAAAGCCATAAACTATTTTATCAGGTGCAGTAGCAGTTTTTCATGAGAAAATACTCAAGTTGTTGCCTAACTGGTCATTTTCCAATACCTTGATATGGTGTTTTTAAATTTTTTACACCATTTTATTTTGCTTTCTTTGGAGAGCAATTACCTGACATCCTCACCCTGCTATTACCCTAAGATATATCAGGAAGATGGAGCCAAAAAGATCCTCTGACAAACTGGATGTGGATACAAAAGAAAGAAAATACTCAAGGGTGACCTGTGGTTTTTCACCTGAGCAAGTGAAATGGCGGTATTTACTGAAATGGGATGATTATGAGAACAGGCAAACGAGGGAAGGTCTGGAATTCAGTTTTGACATGTTACATTTGAGATGTCTATTCACGTGGAAACTGTCATCATGTTTTAGAGACTGATGATCCCTTCATTGGCTGGGAGAATAAACTACTGGGTTGTCAGAAAAGTCATGACGCATTTTTGCAACGAAAAACAGAAAAAATACGTCATGACTTTTCTGACAACCCAATAGATAACCAGTAAGTTTCCTTCAAAAAGCTCAGTTTTCCTGAGTCCTAGACATCAAAGTGATTCAGTAATATTAAAGTTCAGGGAAGCAAAAGCTCACTGAATAGAATGAAGAAAGAAAAAGGACTTAAAAGATTAACATAATTCAGATGGGCAGGCAAGAAGACCCTATAAAAAGGGACAAAGAAAAGATAGTGGAATAGAAGAAGAACAGAGAGAAAGGAGAAAGAGAAGGAAAATGGAAAACCATACTAATAAAAGGTTTCCCTAAGAGCTAGAATGGAAGGTAAAATTTAGGTGGAATATGACAAAACCTAAGCAAGGTCTCTAAACAAGTGTATAGAGTCTATACATGATATGATTAATACAGGTAGAAATTGTACAGAGATGGAAACAGGTACTGAAAGAGCAGGTTTTTAGGAGTAAATGATAAGATTGAGGACATACCGAGGCTGAGAATAGGACTTCCAAGTAGAGATGTCACATCACAAGAAACAATGCCATCCTTTAGCAAATTGTTCCATATTAGGTTATCTGTCAATAACAGTTACTACTATACCTCCAGAGCACTATATGAAAATTTTCATATTCATGAAAGCTTACATATGTTGAACACAACATATCAAAATCTGGGATGTGGCGTTCAGTGAAGTTCAGATAAACTAAAGACTAAAATACAACATAGAAATCAAGAAAAAAAATTGGTAAGAAATGTCACTGGCAAGATAAAACTTTTACCCACACTTTGGAGCATGATTTTCTCTGATGAAAGACAGTGTTAGGGACTGAACGTTTTGTACCCACCCCACCCACAATTCATATGTTGAAATCCTAACCTCCAATGTGTTAAGAGGTGGGGCCTCTGGGAGGTAATTAGGTCATGAAGATGGAGCCCTCACTAATAGGGTTAGTGCCCTTACAAGAAGTGCACAGGAGGGAGATGATCTTTCTCTGTGCCATGTGAAGGTACAAGGAGAAGACAGTCCTCTGTAAACCAGGAACTATAAACCAGGAAGAGGGCCTTCACCAAGAACCCATCCATGCTAGCACATGATCTGGGGCGTTCAGCTTCCAGAACTGTGAGAAATCAATATTTGTTGTTTAAGCCATCTAGCCTATGGTGTTTTGTTACAGCCGTCTGAACTAAGGAGAAGACATGTAACCTGGAAGCAGGTGAAGAGCAAGAAATAAAGAGCCTATGGTATACCAGCAGAAAGACCAATGAGACCAGAAGAAAAGGAGAGAGTCAAAAAATTCTGATCTAATAAACGGGGCACTAACTAGGAGTCATGAGACCAGATCACAGTTTTCCTAATGACAGAAGCCACTTGTTCTTCCATATCTCAATTTTTTCATCTGCATTTACCTCTGAGGATTTTGATGATAATAAAATAAAAATGCATGTAAAAAAAAGTTTTTTTTTTATACTAGGCAAATTCATGGTAAAACTAGTAATACAAAAATGATAAATAATTTAGCTGTTATAAATATTCATAAGCAAAGACACATTTTCTATACTGCTCCTGCTAGCCTCTTTTCCATCCCACAATTCCAACAATTAAGAGTTTATTAATGGTAATAGTTATTATGGAACTCTACCTTTGCAGTCAGGAGTAGGGCTAAAAGAAGGGTTCCTATCACCAACAGAAAAATGATGAAAATGCTAATGATTTTGTCTAACATCTTCTCCAACCAGATGATCATCTGCACAGAAATGAAAAAGAGAATTACTTATCTGTAAAGTATACAACTTAATGAAAACACATGCATTCCAGTATCATGAAGACAAAATAGGACATTCAGAATTGCAAAGCAAACTATGGAATAATGATTAAAGCAGTTAAAGCTATAAGCAACTTTAGAAAATTAACAGTATTAATTACTGTTATTGTTATAGAAAGTTTATTGTTATAGCTAAGAAAAGGCAGTCAATTTGAACATAACCTATATCTATATTTGAATTCTCATACTCTAGCATATTTACATTATAAATTATTATATGTAATCTGGTAAATATTCTAAACAATTAGCTGATCTCAAATCTTATGAAATTTTACTGTAAGCTAGCAAATATAGACAACTTTAGAATAAGTATGCCTTTTACAAAAAAACAGTATGTCCTAAATTATACACAGAGTAGGAGCAATTAAAATAGGAATTACAATCAATATATCTTTCCCTTTAATGTCATTAGGGTTACAAAAACAATAATAATAAAAACCTAATGTTAAGGTAATGATAAATACCAGTTTCAGAATAATAATTCCCCTGGATGGGAAAAGGACCAGGAAGGGATACAAAGCAGGCTTCAGTTATACAGGTAATGTTTTTATCAAGCTGCAGGACAGACACATGGATGTTCTTTCTCTCGTTTCATATTTGAAATAATTCACAATAAAATAATTTTAAAAATCTAATATTGGACTTGAAATTTCTATTCTTAAAACATATGCTTTATGACAAATTATAGCTGACTGCAAATAAATAATCATTAACGTAGTGGTTACTCTTTAATCAATAATTAAAATTATGCTTTCTCTAAATGCTATTTGACATTCTAGTTTGAATATAACCTCTCACTTTTCACAATCACAAGTAATCTATATATTTTTTTTTATTTTAGAATGTATCATTCTTATATTAGATTTGTAGAGTTCCTGCCATGGCAAAGCTACTATTTAACATTTCAAAAATACAATCAATTAGACTCCTGACTGCTGACATGCACCCCTCATCCCCAACATGAGCTACAACATTGCTGAGTAAATTACTCGTCACTTAAATCTGAATTATGTTCTCCAAACAGTGAGTTAAACATCCAAAAGTAAAAGAATGGCAGTTACAAACAAACATGAATTCTAAAACATTTATTTTCACTCAAGGCTTATAAGCTTGCATCCCCCTTACCTTTCATGAAGGATACTGTCACTAAGAGATCAATGCAATAGGTAAACTCAAAGATAAAAATTTCACCTTTTAGCTTAACAATTACCACCTCAAACAGAAGAGTTAATTTTCAGTGCATGCTACCAAAGCATTGAAAACAATGCAGAGATTAAAAAAAAAAAAAAAGTAGTAACAGGTTTCTAAGCTTTGGAAGGTCAGATGTCATATTTTAAATGTAAGTTCTAAAATCAATGAAACAAAAGTTTCATAATCAGGATGCAACTCTACACATAGTTCTTGCGACAGCTTAGCAAGGAATGAGCTAGTGTGTTATTACTCCTCTTTGTATCTCCAAAACCTGACTGTGCGTGGCAAATGGTAAAAACTCAGTTAATACATACATCTGAATAGGTAGGCATAAATAACTTCAGCATTAACACCAGATCTGTATTCACAAGTTACAATTCCTGAAAATAACTTGGGAACCTCAATTTTTTTTTTTAGAAAAGTCATGTCCTAAAATGTATTTTTTAACATAAACAATGTTGTATTAGAAAGTATGAATATCTAAATTTATGCCTGGTTATTTTTAACATATAAAACATGGAATATTCACAAATACATTATGAACGTCAACATTACAAAATCAAATTTTACATTTTTAAACCAGAGTAGAATTTTCCTATCACAAGCTGTATAAAATAAGGGTTGGGGAAAAAATCCACACTAGGAGTCACCTAACTAAAACTTTATATTCAAGGGGTAACAATGAGGGTTAGATGTTTCATTCAAAATTAAAATAAATAAAATCTTTTAAGATGCTCAATACATAAGTTAAAAAAGTTGGAGGGGGGGTTCTATTATGGCTGGCTAAGGTGAAAAAAAGGACAAAAAGGGGAGGGAGGGAGGGAGGGAGGAAGGGAGGGGGAGAGAGAGAAAGAGAAAGAGAGAAAGAGAGAGAGAGACACAGAGACACACACACACACACACACACACACAGAGCTGGAAAGAGACAGGGAAAGACTTATTAAAGAATAAAGAAAGACAGAAAAAAGTCAAGAGAAGAGGAGAAAAAAATGTGGGAGGAGTTGGTGCATAGAACTAAGAGAAAAATCAAAATTTATGGAGGAAAAGAACTCCCTGAAAAAGTGAATGGAACAAAATTCAAGGAAACAGAAAGCAGCACTGACAGAGGAAGCAGCAGAGAAGCGGGAAGGAGATGGAGGAGAGAAGCCTGAGGAAATGCCAAGGTCCCGTGAGGCTGATCCTGTCCTGTGCTCAGCTTTGGGCAAAGGAAACCACACCTGTCATCCCTGCCCTGCACAGTCCCTAGAAATTTCACAAGTCTTCCATGCTGTGAGAAATTATTTTAGTTTTTAAAATTTATTTTCTAAAAGGGGAAGGAGGAAAGAAATTTTAAAATGACATTCTGAATGTTTCAAGTATGAAAATTTACAGATATTGGTAAATTTATAGTTATATCAAAAGACACTCAAATTTCTAAACTCACTGGTCTTACTGAGCTATTAAAATGTCATGCCACGACTGAGTTTTGTTTCATTAATCTGGGCCTATAGGTTTTCATTTTGCTTTGTTTTTTTAAACTAAATTCGAGTTAAATTTTAGTGCATATAATCAATATTAATAAAATAATTAAACCTTGAGAAGTAGGTTGCATTTCAATTAACCCTAAGATGTGTTCTCTCTCACCCTCAATTCTCTTGGTTTCCTAATTCACTCCACTTGAACTTGGAATACCTAATACCCAGTGCTGCAATTTTTTCACCTTGGGTGTGATATAATAAAATAATCTTCAACTTATTTATGCGCTTTCCTGGAGCACACACTCTCAGGACTTCAAGCAGTTTCTCCAACCCTACATCAATGCATTCTATGCTACATGGAATCCAGAAAAAGAAAAAAGTTACTTGATCTCTTAGGTTTTTTTTTTTTTTTTTTAGCTGAGCCATCCTGTCACCTGTTGGCAGCTTAGCAGCAGCTCAGCTTGGGCCAGGAATCAAACCAGCAACCCTGTTGCTCAGAGCTCGCACTCTTGAGCGAGCTCTTAACCAACTGAGCCACTGGCTAGCTCTCTTAGGTATCTTTTAAAACTCACTCACTAGTCAGCTGTGAAATAGGCTCCTAAATTAAGCAATCTAACTCATTTAGTCTTAATCAAATCAAACCTAATGACTTCTCCTTTCTCTCATCTCTTAAGGACAATTTATTTACTTAGACACACACACACACACACACACAAACAAATTAGGAAAATATATAAAACCACCTAATTTGATCAAAGTAAGAAAATGTGACTTATGTTTGCAACACTACCATCTGCCAAAGATTGAACTCATTTCCTTATGCTACTTTTGTAGGAAATGTA